GAGAGGTCCTCCATCTGATGGTTCACTCCCCAAATGGCCACAACGGCCAGAGCTGCGCCGATCCAAAGCCAGGAGCTTCTTCAGGTCCTCCCATGTGGGTGCAGGGGCCCAAGGACATGGGCCATCTTCTGCTTTCCCAGGCCATAGCAGAGAGCTGGGTTGGAAGTGTTAAGGGGTCCCTGTCCTGGGAACAGCAGGAGAACCACGTGAGAGTAGTGACTGCAACTGGCGCTTTGCACGGCTTCAGATTTACCTGTAGGAAAAGCTCTTGCCCACACTCCCCTCTTGGGACAGCTCAGCAAGCCAGGGCTCTTCTGTCCCGTTATTCAGTGTCCTGCACACAGCCCTGGATGGTAGGGCCCCAACCGCTTGAGCCATCCATCACCTGCTGCTTCCCTGGATGTATATTAGCAGAAAGCTGGATCAAAAGCAACTGCTCCACTTCCAATTCAGCTCCCTGCTATGGCCTGGAAAAGCAGTAGAAGATGCTTAAGTCCTTGGGCCCCTGCACCTGTGTGGGAGACTGGGAAGAAGGTCCTGGCTCAGTTCTAGCTGTTGCGGCCATTTGGGGAGTGAACCAGCAGATGGAAGATGTTTCTCTCTGTCTCTCCCTCTCTCTCTCTATAACTCTGCCTCACAAATAAATTAAATCTTAAAAAACATTTTTTAATAAATAAAAAAAACCAACCAAACAAACAAAAAAGCCGGGGTTGGCGCGGTGGTGCGGTAGGTTAATCCTCCACCTGCAGTGCTGGCATCCCATATGGGCGCTGGTTCAAGTCCTGGCTGCTCCACTTCCCATCCAGCTCCCTGCTATGGCCTGGGAAAGCAGTGAAGATGGCCCAAGTGCTTGGGCCCCTGTACCTGTGTGGGAGACCCAGAGGAAGCTGCTGGCTCCAGGTTTGGATTGGCACAGGTCCAGCCGTTGTGGCTGTTTAGGGAATGAACCAGTGGATAGAAGCTCCCGCTCTCTCTCTCTCTCCCTCCCTCCCTCTCTCCCGCTCTGTAACTCTGCCTTTCAAATAAAATAAATAAATATTTTTTAAAAAATGGCTGGACATGGCAAAAATAATTTAAAAAAACAATAAGCTACAGCCCACAAGGTCTGGTGTTCTCCCTTTGATCCGACCTTGAGCCAGCAGAGGAAGACACTCCCGGGACATGTTTGGGAATCAAGGACTATGTGTGTGTGTGTGGGGGGGTGTCCTAGGAGTTTCAGTCCCTCCCCCATATCCTTGCCTTTTAGGAAGTGTCCCATATGAATGCATCAAGTGTGTGGCAGGACTGGGAGTGGCAGCTGGTCATTTTGTTAGCGTGTTGTAATCTACAGGTGAGGTGGGGACACAGCTGGCAGCCACGTTGCGCACGTCAGCCAGTGCTGTCCCCTGCTGGAGGCCTTCAGGCGGGTCTGTCCTCCAAGCCTCAGCCGGCATCAATCTGCAGGAGCTGCCCTGACAAGGCCACATGAGTTCTTCTCTTCCGGTTCAGAAGATCCAGGTGTCAGCCTGGCTTCCCCCTTGGCTTGCTCACGGCCACCTTCTCCCCGTAGCCTCACGTGGGCCGTCCTCTGTGTGCAAACATACCTGGTGTTTGTGTGTCCAAATTCCCTCTTCTTTTTAAAATTGAGGGGGGGGGGGGGGCATGATCTTCCACCCACTGGTCCAGTCTCCAAAAGCCTGCCATAGCTAGGGCTATGCCAAGCAGAAGCCGGGAGCCCAGAACTCAGCCCAGGTCTCTCACGTGAATGGCAGGGACCCAGGTCCCAGGTATTTGAGGCATCTTCTCCTGACTTTAGGGCGCACATTAGCAGGAAGCTGGCTCAGAGGTAGAGGTACTGGGACTCATATCAGGCACTCTGACACGGGATGCAGGACGCAAGTTTCCCAAGAAGCTTTATTATAAACAGATTTATTTGTTTGAAAGGCAGCTAGAGGCCGGTGCCGTGGCTCACTAGGCTAATCCTCCACCTTGCGGCGCTGGCACACCTGGTTCTAGTCCCGGTCGGGGCGCCGGATTCTGTGCCGGTTGCCCCCTTCCAGGCCAGCTCTCTGCTGTGGCCAGGGAGTGCAGTGGAGGATGGCCTAAGTGCTTGGGCTCTGCACCCCATGGGAGACCAGGAGAAGTACCTGGCGGCGGCGGCCATTGGAGGGTGAACCCGCTCCCCCACGAACCCCCCAGCCTGGTCTTCCTATGTTCTGAGGTCGAGAAGGCATCTAGCAGACTGGGGAGGAGTTTATGAGACTGGAGCGGAAAGGCCAAACAAGCATACAAACAAACCAAGCATTTAGCCCCGTGGTTAGCGCACCCAGCTCACACTTCAAAATGCCTGGGCTGGGCCAGCTCTCTGCTGTGGCCAGGGAGTGCAGTGGAGGATGGCCCAGGTGCTTGGGCCCTGCACCCCATGGGAGACCAGGATAAGTACCTGGCTCCTGCCATCGGATCAGCACCGTGCGCCAGTCGCAGCGGCCATTGGAGGGTGAACCAACGGCAAAGGAAGACCTTTGTCTCTCTCTCTCAGTCTACTCTGCCTGTCCAAAAAAAAAAAAAAAAAAAAAAAAAGGCAATTAGAGAAGACAGATAATTTTCCATCCACTAGTTCACTCCCCAAATCGCTGCAAGGGCTGGGCCAGGCTGATGCCAAGAGCCTGGAACTCCATCCGGGTCTCCCACGTGGGTGGCAGGGGCCCAAGCTCTTGGATCATCTTCCACTGCTTTTCCAGGTGCATCAGCAGGGAGCTGGACTAGAATGGGAGCAGCTGGGATTTGAACCAGCGCCCATATGGGATGCTGGTGTTGCAGGCTGCAGCTTAACCTGCTACACAACGCCGGCCCCAAGAAAACTGTATTTATGACACTAGTTGAAGACTAGGTAAGGCAAAGTTCATCCCAGGAGGCCATGATGACAAGCGTAGGGCCCACTGCACTGGGAGAAAGACTGATGCATTTACATCCACATAGGGGGCCTGTGGATAGAAAATGACTGATACCCAGTGTAGGGTTTCCTCTAAACTTACTCGGAGGAGCCAGGCTAGAGGTGGTCAGAGCCACGGTCATTGGCACAGGCAAGGTTCACCAGGACCACTGTGGTATCAGAATCACAGGCATGAGAAAAGCTTGCCACAGAGTGTGGGGGGCCCCCGGTGCCAGCCAAGTGCCCCTGGCTCTCTTCACCAGCTACAGAGGCTAGTACAAGGTGACTACTTCTTTTTATATACTATTTTTTATTTACTAGACAAAGAGAGGCAAACAACTATCTCCCACCTACTGGTATATTCCCCTTAAATGTCCGCAACAGCCATTTGCCTGGTTGGGCCAGGCAAAAGCCAGGAGCCTGGAACCCAGTGCAAGGGTCCCTCATGAGTACCAAGGACCCAAACTCCAGAGCCATCAACCACTGCCTCTGAGTGTGCACTAGCAGAAAGCTGGAACTGGGAACAGAGCCTTGACTTGAACCTGGCACCATATGGAATGCAGGTAGCCCAAGCAGTCTTTTTTTTTTCCTTAAGATTTATTGAAAGGCAGAGTTACAGAGAAAGGGAGACAGGGGAAAAAAAAAAATCCTATCTGCTGGCTTACTCCCTAAATGGCCACAATGGCAAGGAGCCCTGAACTCCATCCGTCTCCCAGATGAGCGGCAGGGGCCCAAGCACTTAGGCCATCTTCCACTTTCTCCGATGCATGGGAGGGTGGGGGGAGTGGATTGGCCAGGACTCAAACTGGTGCTCATACAGGAGGGATGCTGGCTTCATAAGCAGCAGCTAAATCCTCTCTCCCACATTGGCCCCAAATTCCTTGTTGGAACGAAGTGAAGGCTTTGAGTACTGGGCAGCCCCACTGTCCAGCGCCCCCTTCAGGTCATCTTTGGAAAGATGTGTTGGTGGAAAGCGTTGGGCCAAGATGGAGTCAAGCTGGAATCCCAGTTGTTTCCCATTCTCTCCCTCCACCAATTTGACCTTAAAAACAAACAAGGAGTGTGAAGGGTCGCGAGCCCCTCATTCATCTGCAGGTTTTTTTTAGGAAGTGTCAGGTGTCCACTAACTCATCAATTCCCATCTTTTTTTTTTTTTAAATTAAAGATTTATTTATTTATTTGAAAGAGTTACACAGAGGAGAGGCAGAGAGAGATCTTCCATCCCTGGTTCACTCCCCAAATAGCCAGAACAGCAGGAGCTGTACCGAGCCTCTTTTGGGTTGCAGGGTCTTAGTCCACCCATACAGGATGGACTGGGCCCAAAAAAACTAAGTGCGCCTCTCACCCATTCCCCAGCCTCCGGATCCTGGAGACAGTCAGACGCAGCGGGGAGCCAAGTCTAGCAAGAACTCATTTAGCACGTTTTAAAGTTTTGTGACTTTTAAAGCACAAAACCGCAGAGTCACTGGGGCAGGGCATAAAGACCAACCAATCACTTAAAGGGCCACTTTACGGGCGATTTCTATAGGACTGGCCAAATGTCTATACACTTGTTACTAGTGTTGTTACTTCCCCGATGTTGCATGGCCAATTAGCTTTGGTGGTAAACAACTTTGGATTCCGCCCACCTTACTTCCTCTGGGCACCATCTTTGAATTGCTTCGTGTTACTAATTTCCCCACACTGGGTCTCTCCTGTGGGTGCAGGGCCCAAGGACTTGGTCCATCTTCTACTGCTTTCCCAGGCTATAGCAGAGCTGGATCGGAAGCAGAGCAGCCGGGACTCAAACCGGTGCCCAAATGGGATGCTGGCACTGCAAGTAGCAGCTTTACCTACTAACCCATGGCATCAGCCCTAATTCCCACCATGTTAATGAAAAAAAGCCCTTATTCCAAACCCCTGGCCCTCCTCGCCACAGGCAAAGCACCACGCAAAACCCACTCCCATAAATACTGGACAAATGCGCACTTCACACTTGGTTGACTCAGATCCCGGGGACTGGGGTTCACACGCGGAGGCTGCCCCAGGAAGGCCCACGCCATCTCAGCTCCCAGTTCCCCAAATTCCCACAGACACAGACACACTGGACTTTGAATATAAGTTTCCTTTTATTTTGAAATTGAAACAGCGGAATGCAGTGGTTTGTCACGGGGAAGAGAAGCGGAGGGTGTGCCCTGCGAAGGTCAGAGCCAGCTGCCCCACCCCCCAGACAAGCACAGAACAGACTCAAGGCTGGGAAGAGAGGTACAATCAGAATTAGGGTGGCGGTGGCTGACAGATTTCCAGTCATGTACAGTTTTCAAAGTTATCGCGATTACAGAGTAAGGTAGCACTCGTTCTGAAAATCACAAGTCACAAGAGGGGGTGCTCAGCCCCCCCCCCACATTCATAAAAATACACCTGCCGCTCTCCCGCGTCGGGAGGAGATGCACACCAACCCACCCGCCATCAGGAAAGCGGCTCTTGTGACACATTCTGGCTGCAGATTCTGGAAAAAGAGTGAGAACTCACACAAAAACAGAGGTGGTTCATTCATTATGCCAACTCATGAGCTGCTGAAATTCATTCCGAACACCCTCCCGTAGCAGTGGCTTCCAGGAAATCCACACAGAAATGTTACAAGGGGTCCCCCAGCCCCTCCGGAGGCAGTGCAGGGTCCAGACGTCAGTGCCCACGACACACACATACACACACGCCTTCGTCCCTGGTGAAGCCCCCGGAAGTCACCTGGCTGGGAGGGGGAGGAGGTGAGGGGTCCAGGTAGGGCTCCTTGGAACGGGGTACGGGTGAGACGAGCCAAGGGGACAGAGTGACAGGTGTACCTGTCGGAACAGCTAGAGCATTATCTTAAACACGTGAAGAAAATCGCCAAAGAGTGAAACTTCATTATGGGGGAAAAAAAAAGGTAAAGTTTGGGAAATTAAAACAATCCAGTGGTCACTGGAAAATATCTCCCTCTTTTTATCAAAAAAATTTTTTTTTTTTGGTTTTTTTTTTTGTAGTTTTTTGGAAAGTATTTTTAAGGTAACTTTTTTTTTTTTCCTTTGGAAAAAGACATCTTTTTCCCCCCTAACCTAAGCAAGTGGAGTTGCCACTACTAATTCATCTCTATTGCCTGCTAAGAGGTAGATAAAACAAAGTGAAACGGGGCTTCTAGGAGGAGGTCCATCAGCGGGTGGGGAGGGGCCGGCTTCGCCCGGTGACGCTGCCCCACTACCAAGACGCCTGCGTGCGGCGGAGGCCGGGACCTCGGACCACCTTCTGCGCCCTCGAGTCAGCCGTCCCGCTGAAGACGGTGGGGGGACCCCAAAGACACGGCTGAAAAAGGTCTCAGCTCTGCCCCCCTAGCTTCCTGATGTTGGGGCCGAGTGATGGGCGCCGCGCCAGGCCAGGCCCAGACCCCAGCCCCAGCCTGCGCAACCCCTCTGGGAATGGGAGTGGCTACGCCTTTCCTCACCATCTGGTCCAACACGGCTGTAGCAGTGAGAGCTGACGGGGCGCAACACAGGCAAGGAAGGTCAGGGGTGGGGGCCGGAAGCAGCCCCCACCCACCCACCCAACCTGTCTGAGTGGGGGTCCTGGCAGACCTGTCTGTCCCCTGAGGACAAACTTTTCGTGGCACAAGCTTCAAATTCACTTCCGGCTGGGATCCATACCCTGACGCACGAGTCCCTGCCCTCAGCTTCCAGTCTGACTGTAAGGATTGAGGTAGTTAATCCATTTATACTCGTAGCATCCATTACCTGTGGTTACTCAAAACACATGCTCCCAAGGAGCTCCTTGCTATTTCATTTAAGAATAACAAAAAATCCTTTTCGTCTTGTCAGTCCGTATTGAACCTGCTGACTTGCCAAGAGGGTCGCAGGGCCGGGGGCAGGCTGGGGCCAAGGCCCCGCCCACCCTCTCCAGCCGCCTTCTGCTACCCGAGGGAGAAGCCCTGTGTATCCAAAGGAAAGACACCGGGGAGATTCCCGCTGGTGGGAAGTCTACGTGGAAATGCGAGAGAACGTGCATCCAAGCCATGGAATCCCTGGAAGGAAGATGGCTGTCGCGTCCACTGGCATGGGTGGGGGTCTCTTCTGCTTTCTGCAATCACTAGGATGGGCCGTGTTTTCCTCCTACTGGATGTCAATGAGTTAGGAAAACAGCCAGAGTTGGAACCACAAAGCCGCTAGGAACCCCTCTCACCAACACTTCACGGGGAGTGCCTGAGGTGCGGGGGAGGGGCGGCCCCCGGGGTTGGGAGGCTGGAGCAGGCCCTGTGGGCTCTGCGAGGTAGTTGGCAGTGCGGCTGGCTCCCAGCTGGGCAGAGGGTCCGCCTGGGGCGGCGGGGAGGGGAAGGCACCCTTGACAGCTAACAGGCCCCTCCCCACGGCCGGTCTGCCAAGCCAGGAGGGAGCTGCCCAGAGCCATCTCTGCAGTGGGGACAGGGATGAGCAGGGGTCCCCCAGGAAGGAGGCCCCAGCCTTCCCCAAAGTGCAACGACTGAGCCCACGGGGGTCAGGGCTCCTGCTGTCTCCTCCCAGGCAGTCCGGCTCTGGGGGAAACCCGGCTCCTGCGAGGACGTGGAAGTGGCCTCTCAGCCTCTGTCTTTGGCACAGAAGAAAACGGACACGCAGAACCAACTGGAGTGTCCTCCTCCAGTGTTCTCTGGGCTGGACGTGGGGTCAGTGCCAAGAGCAAGGCATATCTAAGAGAACAGCTCCCAACTGCCCCCAGAAGCGGAGAGCGCAGGGAAAGGCGGGCAAGGCTGAGAAGAGTCGGGAGGACAGGTGGAAAGGGGGCAGTTGCCGTCCGTCACACTGGCTCTCTCCTACCCGGACCCCGACCCCCACCCCCGGAGCTGAGTCCACAGCCTGATCCAACTGCAAAAGGCAAACGAGCCCTAGAGGGGATTAAAGCCACTGGGGTGTAGCTGGCAGGTGCAGCTCCAACGTCAGTCAGTAAATCAAACCGTTTTGGTTTTCATCTGTTCCAAAGAATTTCAAAAGCAATCCTACAGAGACGGTCCTTTCTCAGAACTCCGTATGTGGCACACACACGCACACGCGCACACACACTCATCTCCAAGCACGGAAGCCTTTTCCTCAACGTCACTTCTCTCCTATCCTCCAATTCTTCCAGGTGCTTTTTGCAGTAGCTTGCTATCTCACCAAGTGTGGGCAAAGACAGGTGCTGGGCAGGGCGAGGCCTGGCCCCAGGACCCAGCCTGCACGGCAGGGGAGGCCCCGGGAGACAGGTCCCCCAGCTCGCTCAGCCTTAACCACCAAAGCATATCCTTTCACTTTCTGCTCATGCAACTTGCATGATTTTCCTGCTGGGCAAATATCAGCGATGAGTGGGGCCAGGCCTGACCCACGTCGGCCTTCCAGCCCCGCCACACCCGTTCCGGTCCCCGCGGGGAGCTGAGTCAGACTGGACGGTGGCAAGGGACAGGGGCTTCCGCCGTGAAGGGAGCAGGCCCCCGGGGACAACGGGACACTGCAACAATCACACTCCAGGTACTGCGGGGTTCTTTTCCTGATGACAGCTTGAACCAGATATCAAAACACGCTTGCTGCTGGAAAGTCACTTCCAATCACTAAAATGGCCAATGTCTGAATGCTGATCGGCTTCACTTTGGGACAAAGAACAGAGAGCCAGAGATGGAAAAGTTGGGAGACCCTTTCTGTGGTTGGGACAGGTGGGAGGCTTCGTTCTGCTGGCCTGACCAGTGTCCCTGACCGCTGTCCTGCTTGTCCTTTCTTTGGACTCCAGTTCCAGGGGCTTGGGAAGGGATGCCACGGGGAGAAAGTGGTCAGACCACGGTGAGACAGGACTCTGCCCCCGTCAGGTCCCCATTGCTCCACTCCGCCCCTCCTAGCTGCCCCCTACCCCCTAAGCCAAAGCATCCCCTAAGTCAGGGTCCGCTTTCAGAATCCATCACTCAATTTAGAGATCACAAGGGAGATGGAGGGCGGGCAGTGTTCGGAAAAGCTGTTTGTCTCTCAGTCCGTGAGGATATTGACAAAGAACAGCAAGACAGGACTGAAACAAAACCGCGACCAAAGTCAAACACGCAAAGCACTGCCATCCCCAAGCAGGCGGGCCTCGCTGAGAGGGAGAGGGGGGCCTGGCTTTTCTTCCATGAATGAAATCTTGGCTTCCATGTTTTCAGACAAATATAGATTTTTCTTTAAAAGGGTATATTTCTTAGTTATTATTTAGTTTTTCTCTCCTCGATAAAACGGAGGCAATAGTTTTAAATATCTCAACAGCACGGCTGGGGGAAAAAACCGGCCGGGTTGCTATTTAACCAAAGGGGAGAAGAGGGGAGACCAAGGGCCCGGTGGCGGCTGGGCCCCGGCTTCATCCCAGCTCTGCCAGCAGGGCCCCCAGCCGGGCCGGGCTCTGCGCTCTGCCCCTGGGCTCCCCCCATCTGCCCCAGGGCCCCCTGGAGGGGCCAGCCCCTGCTGCCTCTCCCACAGGGCCTGTTCTCCAGACAGTTCCTGAAGGGCTATACTGGCTCACGTTGTAAGAAATTATGAAACATAACTTTCTCATTTTTTTCTTTTCATTAAAAAAATAAAATATTCAAGACTATCAGCTTCTCTTTTGCTTTGCTTTTCTTTCTTTTTTTATATAAAATATCAGCAAGCCGCAAAGAAAAAAAAAGATTGAAAATTAAAAATAAAAAAAATTAAAAAAAAAAAAAGTGGGGTTGGGGGGAACACAAAGGAACATCATTGCTGAGGTAACTTCATACCTTGAGGTAGTTCACTTACACAGCACCGCCCGACTCGGCCTGCACGCCATGGTCGTCTTGTTGTTCCGGTTCTTGTTGCAATGTTGGGACGAGGGGAGCCCCCTGCGCGGGCCTCCCGTCCTCCCTTGCCAGCACACTTGATAGTATTGTCCAGGGTAGCTAAAGTGCATCACCCGGCTAATTATGCATTGACAGTCAATCAGAACAGTATTAGCAGGGGAGGCCTAACCTCATTTAACTGATGGCTGCTGTCCTCCGCATGGGCTAAACTTCCAACAGGATCTTATCAAGCCTAGTGAATTAATAAATTAAGCTTACCCTTATGTGCATAATGCAACTGGTACTCTGGATTTTTATTTTTTCTTTTGACACAACGGTTCATCATGCATGATGATTCATGGAGGCAGAAGCCACCAGTTAAATACTCCTCTGGGATAAAAACAGTACTCTCCAATCTACTGAATTTGCCAGATGACAGACTTTAGCTCAGGGTCGAGTCTGACGTCCCACCACCACTAAGGACCCAGCGCTGTGGTGGGGAGTGCCCTGCAGCCCCTGCTTCTGGGAACCAGCCTTTACGTGAACACGTGGGCTGGGGTGGGGGCACAGTGGCAAGCCTCGGGCCACTCAAGTCCTCCACGGAACTGAGACTTTATCAAGGGGACGTCGCGTCCCCTTGCCAGTGCTCACATCCAATCAATAAAATAGACTTTAAAAAAATAGAAAATCCGCCTGAGAATGACGGGAATCAGGGACAGTGGCGCGCCCCGACCCTGCTGTGTGTCGGCCCTACCTACGTGCACCTGCACGTGATGTGGGACCCTCCCCAGGGTGAGAGGGACATGGATGTGGTGGGGAATCCGGAAATTTCACTTGTGCCAATTTGTCTAGACAGTGACCTGGAAAACATCAGGCGCGAGGGTACTCCTTTTAAACGTGGATTACTCTGTTTCAATCAATCTTCTCCCCCTTCTTTATTCCTTGCTGTACCTATCGGTTGAGTGGAGAGAGACTCAATTCAGCTGCAGTTACTGATAGGTCTTCCCCATTGGGTCAATACTGTAGGCAAGGCAAGGCATGAGTTCCCATTTTTTTCTGGTACCAGTAAAGGTAAAGCAATCAGGGTGAACAGCGGAGGAGGTGGTTTGAGGGCTGGAAAAGGGGGTATTTCAATCAACTACCCAGGCAGGAGGAAGAAGGCTGGACAGATTTTTTAGGGTCAAGAAACAAACCATCCTTGAAGGCTGATTAAAACACCCCTCTGCGTGTTTTAAAAACCTGGAAGAAATTTTATTTCTCTTCCCACTAGGGTCAGACCCACCCTCTGGCAGGGTGGGGAGGGGCTGGGGCCTGGAGAACTTCCTTTAACAATCCACGTTTAAAAGCACCCTGAGCTAGAATTTCAATGGTGACACCCCTGGGGCTGGCGGTGTCGGGCCAATAGGTGGGGCGTGGGGGCCGAGAGATCAGGGTTCCTCCTCACCGGAGCATCTGTCTCGAGCAAGCGGGCAAACCTGATCTACAGCCCGGCCTGCCTGTCCCTGATCCCCACTCATTCTCAGGCCTGCCCGGGAGCGCACGCGCTGCGTTTCCGCCCGTGGTCCTGGAGTCGCTGGCACGGGAGGGGCGGCTCACTTCCTCCGCGCCTGCGCCTGGTTACTCTGCCCCTTCTGGTGCTGCTGCTTCACCTGCGCCAGGATGTCCCTGATCTTCCGCTGTGCCATCTGCAAGGGGGCGAGAGGGAGGGTGTGAGGCCACCCGTGCAGCCAGACTCCCGTGGATGCACAGAACAGGAGGCAAGGCAACAGGAAAACCGGGGCGCGGGGACCCCGAGCATCCACCGGACAATGCAGCAAGTGCAAGGGCCAAGGTGCAGCGAAAAACCAATTCACCAGGATTTACAAGCCAATGAAGGTGACACGCCTCTGAACCCAAACTGGAACCCCTGGGGTTTCTAGACAGAGGTATGGCACATGTTGTCCAAGCACCGTGAATTGAGAAACACCACACATCCAGCACTCACGTAAACACCCCGGGGAAAGGTGGGAAAAAGCCCAGTGGTGAACAGGCTCCACTGTGCAAGGGGCTGAAGCGGCGGAGGACCACCAGCACGGCCTCCCCAGACCCACACTGGTCTGCGTCTGATCCCCAGCTACCACTCCTGACGCCAGTTTCCTGCTAGTGCAGACTCCTGGGGGAGCGGAGGGGATGGCTTCTACACAGACCCCTGTCGCCCTTGTGGGAGACCTGGATTCAGTCCCCGGCCCAGTTCTGCACATTGCTGGCACCTGGGGGGCAAACCAGTGAATGGGAGCTCTTTCTCTGTGTCTCAGTTTTATAAGGGAAATGAACTGTAAGACGGGATTCACTATATAGAAATTGGTCAGTCTGTCTCCCCTCCATAAACTGAATGCTTGGTTTCTTGGTTAAAAAGAAAAGTGGAGGACGGGTGATGTGGCCCAATGGTTACGTCACCACTCGGGGCACCTGCAGGCCATACTGGTGCACCTGGGATCCAGCCCCAGCTACTTGGCTTCCACTGCAGCTTCCTGGTAAGGTGCACCCTATGCTCAAGTACTTGGGCCCCTGCCACCCACGTCAGAGACCCATATGGAGTTCCTACTCTTGACCTCAACCTGCCCCAGCCCTGGCTGTTTCTGGCATTTGGGGAATGAATCAGCAGATGTAGATCTCTGCCTCTCTCTCTCGAAGATAAATAAAAAATTTTAATGAGAATAATGGGCCTAGCTTGGGGAAAGAACGTGGAAATTGCTACTTGTCTAAACGCAGACTTCTCCATCAGCCCTGGCTTGACGATTTCTGTCGTTTTTGGCTCCCTTCCTCATTCTGATTAACCTGAAATGCCTGAGTGATTAATGCATACCCTGGCCCTGTGCTTCCTCAGCCGTGTCGCTGACCATGCAGACCGTGCAGGCCTGTGCCACGTGTGCCGCAGGCGCCCACACAGGGCTGCTGTGGCTCCCGAGACGTCTCTAGGGGTATTCAGAGAAAGCCGCTCTCCAGGGTCACATGGCAAGCAGGCTCTGTGGGGTTTGGCTCAGGGCCCTCTGGCAGCAAATCCCATGCTCCCGGTGTTGCACCAAGTGCACCGGGAGCCGAGGGCCAGGCTGGTGTGGGCAGCTCAGGCAGGCCTCAGCTTGCTATGCTTGGCTGTGCTCCATGAGTTGACAGCACTGCGCTCGGCATTCCCCACTGCCCCGTGCAGTTGGAACACTGGGGGACTTCAGATTTGAGGGAAACAACAGCAGCTGTCAATCACCCCCTCCCTGCCTCGCTGAGGTTTGGCAAAAACTTGAACCTGATACTGACTTCCCTTTCCAAGTTCTGGAAGTCTGCCCTGATGCTGGGCAGTGCAGAGACAAAGAATTCTGGGAAAGGGCTAGGAGGCAGAGCAATAGGAGCCAGGAAGGGAGCAGCCAAGTGTGCGTTTCTGTTGTTATCACCGCTCCCTGAGAGACTGGGTGATGGGCAACAGTACCCAGGGCAACAAGCACTTAGGGAGGGGCTGAGTTTTAGGGTTAAACAAAAGAAAGGACCTTTAGGATCTAATACACAACCTGTAACAGCTCCAACAGTTATGTACTGTCCAAGACAGAGGCGACCCAACAGCCTCCCATCCCACTCCCGTACCTCAAAGAGGTAGGCAGAGGGGGTGAGGCCACAGGACCGGTTCAAGGCCATCTGGTCAACCACCGAAGCTCAGGCTGCTCCCAACCCCCGGGGGGAAGCACTGTGCGCACCTGGCTGGCATAGAAGTGCCCGATGATCTTCACGATGACCTGGTCATTCTCATCAGGGGTCTGGTCTCGCGGCACCACCACCTCAGCGGCTGTCAAGTTCTGCAACTCGTTCACCTGGGAAGGGGGAGGTCAACAGGGGCTCAGGCTGCCAAGTGAGGAGGCAGGAGGCCGGAGCTGGGCTTAGGGAGCGGGATGAAGTGAAAGGGCAGATCGGGAGTGGTGGGGCTGAGCAGGCCGGCGGAGCAGGCGGCCGGAGCTGCAGGCTGAGGCCCAAAGCTTTCGCCACAGGCCGCACGTGAGCCTCACCGTTTTGCCACCTTTGCCAATGACCCGGCCGGCTGCCGAGGCTGGCACCCGTATGTGGGTCTCCAGTTTTACTTCCTCCTTTGGGCCAAAGAAGTTCTCCTCTTTCAGCTTGCCGTAGATTCTTCCCTGAGCCTGAGAAGAGGAGGAGACTGTCACTCAGGGCCATGCCGGTGAAGGAAGGAAGAGTCCCCGGGCTCCCGCCCACCCGAGGGAGGCCAACCAGGAAAGGTAGGTGACATGAGGTGCTCAGCTGGGCCACCTGCCCACATTCTGCCTGTCCCCCGCCCCCCTGCAACACTGCAGCCCCTGGCACCACACAGGGGCCTGGAAAGCTGTCCCAACCCTCTGTGCACACACAGGACAGGCCGAGCTCAGTGGCAGCTCCGTGGCTGCCAGTTCAGAAGTCCCACCAAAGGCCTTCCTTAGGGACCACAAAATGCCGAGCGGCAGCCCCCAGGAGGTGAAGTGAACAGAAATGAAGCTGGACACGGGGCAAGCACTGTGGCGTAGTAGGTTAAACCTCTGCCTGCAGTGCCTATATCCCGTTATGGGCGCCTGTTCGAGTCCCGGCTACTCCACTGCCCATCCGGCTCCTTGTTAATGGCCTGGGAAAGCAGCAGAGACCTGGAAGAAGCTCCTGGCTCCTCACTGGGCCAGCTCTGGCCATTGCAGCCATTTGGGAAGTGAGCCAGCAGACAGAAGACCTTTCTCTCTGTAACTCTACCTCTCAAATAAATAAATCTTTCAAAAAAGAGAAAGAAACAGCCAGATGCCAACACAAAAGCAGCTTGACTGAAGAGACTGAACGGTGCCCCTGCCCCTCCCATGGCCATGGGGAGCTGCGGGTCCCAGGATCCACATTCAGCTTAGAGAACCGAGATGATGACCTTGAACTGGGCCTCCGGGGGGCCGGTGATGATGACCATCCGGACTTTGGAGTCAGGGGTTTCCGGGGGAGCAATCTGTGAAACAGACAGCAATCAGAGAGGGGGGTCCCCTCTGGGAAGACCTCCTGCCTCGCCCACCCCTCCGGATCCCCTCCCGCTGCCCAGCCCGTGGACAGCAGGAGGGCAGGACAAGCCACTGGCAGGGGGTGGGAGTCTGGCTGCAGTGACGCTTCCTGGGCAGCGCGTCCCCGCCCCCTCCCCGTCCCGGTCTCTCGGGGAGTTTCAGGGACACAGGGATGATGAGCATCCACGAGAGGACATCGGCCACACCTCCACTAGGGACAGCCACAGCTGCTGCCCAGAGCTTTTAAGACCCCAGAAATCCCTGGATGGATTGAGGTTTGTGAAACTGATTTGGTGTCATGGTGGCACATTTGCTTCTCTCCCCCAGAACCCTGGAGCCAGGCCAGCAGCGGCCAGCAGCGGCCAGCAGCGGCGGGCAGCTCACCTTGATGGAGGCGCTGGCGAACCGTGAGAGCTGCTTGATGTGCTGCCCCTTCTTGCCGATGATGGCGCCCACCGCCTGGGCAGGAATGAACACCTGCACCACCTCCTGCTCGGGGGCCTGCTGCACCGACAGGAGACCTCGTTACCGAGGGGCTCAGAGGGGCAGAGCCCAGAAGCCCCTCCGCTCCCTTGCTGGGAATTCTCAAGGAGGAATGCATGCAAACACCCAATGGGCAACCTGGGCTGGCCAGGAGCACCGGCGGCTCCTTGGTTCTTCCTACGGCCCCAGGGCTAAAGGAGCCACCAGGGAAAAGCTGCCAGCACCCAGGGCAGCGTCCTCAGCCGGCTGCACCTGTGCAGGGCCTGTCCCACTTGCTGGGAGCGGCCCAGGAGGTGTCCCCTGAGACCCCGTGCTCTTGTCCCCGCCCCGCCCCCCACAACCTTCCTTCCGAGACCCAGGGGTCTCCTGTAGTCTGACCTTCCACCTACCATAAAGGAGCTGTAGGGAGCCGCCCCAGTGACGCTGCTTGGGGGTGGGGGGACCGCGCTGGACGAGGCTGGGAAGAGACCGACGGCAGCCAGGTTCAGGCCCGGGATCAGGTGGGACTGCAGCTGGGGAAGAATGAGGAAGATGTCAGCTCAGTGTGTGGCCCCCCGTGTATGGCTCTGGCCCAATCAGAAGGCCGAGGGTCTCCAGGGAAACTGAGCCCCTAAACGTGAGAATGACGAGCTTCTGCACAAAAACTTGACCTTGTGGTTTCCACACAACCTTGAGCACACTTCTGGTGTGGGGTTGTGAGTGATGTGACGTCCTCATCGCGCTACCAGGGACCAACTCCCACCAAAAAATCCATCGGAGGCCCTCCCTCTCCACTTGCTGACTCTGTTCCAACGTGCAGACCCTGGACTCCAAACCCTGTGTGTCAGGTCCCCCTAGGAGCATCAGGGACAGAGACCACCACCTTTGACTTCTGGGACCTGCTGGTTCTGAGTCATTTTGGCCATGTGCCCCACCCCAGCGCTCCTTTCAGAATCAGATGGAAAGCAGGGCCGGCACTGCGGCGAAGTGGGTTAAGTTACCACTTGCAATACCAGCATCCCACATCGGAGCGCTGGACTCCAGACCTGGCTGCCTTGTTTCCCATCCAGCTCCCTGATGATGCGCCTGGCAAAGCAGGGCAAGATGGCCCAGGTATCTGGGCCCTTGGAACTCAATGTGGGAGATGAGACTCAGATGGAGTTCTTGGTTCTAGGCTTTGACCTGGCCCAGCCCTGCCTGATGCAGCCATCTGGAGAGTGAACCAGAGGATGGAAGATCTCTCTCTCTCTCTCTGTGTCTCTCTCTGCCTTTCAAGTAAGTAAGTCTTAAGAAAAATATATAGGAACACGATTCTGGGGACAGACATTTGGCAGCCCAGCCACTGCCTAGGACTTCGTGTCCCATGTCAGAGTGTCTAGTTCAGATCCCGGCTCCACGCCTTTTCCCGGCTTCCTGCCAGTGCAGAGGCAGCAGGTGAGAGTGAGTACCGACATCCCTGCCACCCATATGCGAGACCCAGAGGCGGCGGTCCTGGGCTCCCGGCTTCCCCTGGCTGTTGCTGAGTCTCGGGGAGTCGCCCACACAGGGCCCTGCGGGGCACTCACGCTCATGGCGGCCACGTCGTTTTCATAGGCCTCTCGCACTTTCTTCATGATTTCCTGCTCGGCCCTGCAGCAGTTCTCGATGGCCCCTTTCACGGTGATGGTCCTCTCGGGGTTGTAGAGGGTCAGGTCCTGCAACCTGCAAGGAAGAGCACAGCGGGGTCAACCCCCACCCGCTGGCCAGCAGGCCCAGACGCCAGAACCGGGAGCTACAAGTCCAGCGTCTCAGTGGGCTGTGTAACTTCTGCCATATAATCCCGCCTCCAGCCTGGGGCGTCCCTGGTTGTCCCGGGGAGGGGCGGGGAGATGAGGTCTCCCACAGGAAGCCCCTCTACTTGCAACATGTGCAGTCCTGCCCAGGGCAGTGGGGTGGCAAGAGCGCAGCTCTCACGGCCGTTAAGAGAAGGACTCCTTGCACGTCCGCGACTGTTCTGCATCCAGTGTGGGGTGTGTGCCGGAAGGTCCCCCGCCCCTCCGGGACAGCGTCTTACGAGGAGATGGTGATTTTCGTCTCTGTGTCCTGCTCCACCTTCTTCAGGTTCCGCCCCTCCTTGCCGATGAGTCGGCCAACGAAGTTGTTGTGCGCCAGGATCTTCAGGGGGACCTCGTCAGCCCTGGGGAGGCGTGGGGACATGAGCGCCATCAGCCGTGGACACACAGACCCAACCATCGTGCCACGGCCAGCGTGGGTTTCCCAGGACAAAATGCGAGAAGTGATGGCTCTGGGCCAGCACTGTGGTGTAGCGGGTAAAGGCGCCGCCTCAAATCTCAGCTACTCCACTTCTGATCCAGCTCTCTGCTATGGCCTAGGAAAGCAGTGGAAGACGGCCCAAGTGCTTGGGCCTCTGAGACCCAGGTGTGGCTCCTGGCTTTGGATCAGCACAGCTCCATCTGTTGCAGCCATCTGGGGAGTGAACCAGTGGATGGAAGATCTCTCTCTCTGTCTCTCTGTGTCTGTCTCTGCTTCTCTGTAACTGTCTTTCAAATAAATGAATAAATATTAAAAAAGAAAAAAAAAGGGGGGGAAGAAGTGATGGCTCAGCAGGCCCCGGTGGCTTCGCGACAGAGATATGGCGGTGAGGATGTGAGGCTGAGGGGGTTCAAGGACACTTGGGGTGCTGACTTCGTGGCACGGTGGTATAAGCCGCTGCCAGGGACGACGGCACGCTATCACAGTGCTGGAGTCCCGGCTGCCCAGCTTTGATCCAGCTTCCTGCGCGTGCACCCGGGGAAGGCAGCAGGTGCTGGCTCAGCCTCTGAGCCCGTTACTCACGTGGGAAATCCAAATGGAATTCCTGGCTCCTGGCTTCAACCTGGCACAGCCGTGGTTATTGCGAGCATTTGGGGAGCAAACCGGTGGGTAGAGATCCTTCCCTCTATGTGTCACTCTCTCCTCTCTAAATCTTTCACTCTGCTTTTAGATAAATATTTCTTTAAATGTGTGACTTACTGTCTACGAACTGAACCTCAATAATGCTGTAAAAAAGGCCAAAAGTGTTAAGTAAACACAGGAGTAAAGAAGCACGCCCGCTGTTTTACTTTAACTTATTTCAAAAGCAAAGGCAGAGAGATCTCCCATCTGTGGCTTCACTCCCTGAACTGCCAGAGCTGGGCTCTGTGGAGTCAGGAGACTGGAACTCCATCCCGGTTTCCCACATGGACCCAGAGACCTGCGCCGCATTCATGAAGCTGGCGTGAGAAGTGGAGTCTGGGCTGGAACCCATTCCACTAGGAAGTGGGAACCCAATCAGCGTCTTAACCACAGCTCCAAGTGCCCTCGCCCTCCCCTCGTAACCAGGGAGAACGGAGACAACACAAACACCCATCAAGAACCAGGAGACTACTTAAGGGAGCACACACTGGCCCACTATGCCAAGGACAAAACGAGGCGTGTCCACAGGCTCCAGGACACGGGTGTTGGTACAGAGAGCGAAATGTGGACAGAACAACATGCCTGGCATCACGTGATCTTCCATGCCAGAACACCTGCGCACACACCCACACGCACCCCTGTACACACCCACACGCACCCCCCTGGGAGCACAGAATTTCTGGGAGACCCCACAGTGGGTCTAAGGAGGATTTCACTTAGTCTACGTCCCTGTCTCCAGGAATTCTGCACCAGGATCTGCGTGGGGAGAGGGGGCCCAGTCCCTGAGGCCCGGGAGGAGCAGGAGACTCACGTTTTGGTGTCTTTTGCCTCCTTATGCATGATCTCCAAGATCATCTTGCAGGCGGAGGAGCAGCCCTCGGGGGTGGAGTGGATGCTGATGGCCTTCTCGGCGGCGCCCGCGTTCTCCTTCCTGTGTACGTCTATCCTGAGCCGAGCAAGGGCAGAGCCCGTTAGTTCTCGCCAGCGACATCTGCTCTTCCCCTGCCCCCGACACAAAACCACACACTTCAGGAGTCCAAGGAACAGAACCTGTTCTTCTAGAAACAAGGCTGACACAAGGCAGCCCTGGGGGGCTGGCCTCGTGGTGCAGCAGGTTAAGCCGCTGATTGCGATGCTGCATCCCTGACCGAAGCACCGGCTGCTCCACTTCCAGTCCCTCTCCCTGTGAATGTGCCTGGGAAAGCAGCGGAGGATGACCCATGTGCTTGGGTCCCTGCCGCCCACACGGGAGGCCTGGATGGAGTAATGGGCTCCTAGCTTTGGCCTGGCCCAGCCCTGGCTGTTGTATCCATTTGGGAAGCGAATCAGCGGATGAAAGATCTCTCTATGTCTCTCTGTCTTTCAAAAAAATAAAAATAAATTATATCAATCATATATATATATATAAATCATATATACATAGAAAGAGATTTGAAAAGGGCCAAGGCAGGGCCAGAGAGAGAGCTGTGGCCAGCCTGTCTTTGCAGTGTCTGGATCCAGATACGGCTGGGTACAGAATGTCACGTATCACACAACACTGGCTCCATGTCCGCTGGAACACTGTGTGCCCCCCTCGAAACAACAGAAACAGCAGCCACCTTGTCCCCAGCTAAAAGTAGATACAGAATTTATGATGAGGAGGACTTAATGTGACCTGTTCTTTCCCACTGAGTACACTGATCAGCTATAAAGATTAGAGAAAGGAATTCAAAGGGGTGGAAAAGGAGGCAGGACATACACTGATGGCCTCTGACCAAGGGCCCTGCCTTTCGGGACAGACAGGCCAGCCCTGTGCCACCACTACGTGGTCGTGAAACCACCGACACCAGTACTGACTCCCCAGTGCCTCCTGCGACATCTCGCTGGTGGCGGTGCATGGCCAAGCCACTGGCACCCATGCTGCACCCCAGGCCCATTCTCCTTCCCCACCGGCCAGGCCCTCCCAGGGACCCCGAGGACCCAAGGGTGCAGGGCAACTTCTGCCTGAGTCCCGGCCGCTGTCCCCTGCCCCCTGCCCCCGGACTCACTTGGACTGAGTCTGCTTCGTGATGTTGCGGATGGTAGCACCCTCCTTGCCAATGATGGCGCCGACATACTGGGTGGGCACCAGGAGCCGAAGGGGGATGTCCACCTGCTGCTGCTTGGCAGGGGCCCCGGCCGCCACGGGCGAGCCCTGGCGGGGCTGACCCCGGGAGCCGAAGCCTCCACGGCGCCCGTTCTCGGGGCCCTGGGCTATCTGCTCGTCGGGAATGTAGGAGACCTTCAGGGCGTGGTTCTCCAGCTGGTGGCCATTCAGCTTCGTGATGGCTCTGGGGACAGAGGTAGAGGGGACCAGTCACTCCCCCACCATGCCAGTCATATCAGGTGCGCTCCTGGCGCAAAGCACTCTGGGGTACCCCAGCTGGGCACACACTGGGGGGATCCACTGCCCACCACTCCTGCCCTGGGCACCCTTCTGATCTAAACAGCCTGAGACACGGAGAAAGACATGGACTCGGTGACACCCAGCACGGGGCGGGGTGGGCGGTCAGTGGACTTCCAGGCCGGGAACAACCATGGATCTCCCAGGGCACTCCTGCCTTGGCTGCAGGACACACCACACACCTCAGGTGGCTCAAAAAAACCAGACTCCAAAAACTTAAAAAAAAAAAAATCTGACTCTCTTAGAGCTGGCGCTGTGATGATGATGTAGCAGGTAAAACCGCCGCCTGCATCGCCGGCATCCCACGTGGGTATTGGTTCAAGTCCCGGCTGCTCCACTTCTGATCCAGCTCTCTGCTATGGCCTGGGAAAGCAGTAGAAAATTGCCCAAGTCCTTGGGCCCCTGCACCCACGTGGGAGACCGGGAAGAAGCTCCTGGCTCCTGGCTTTGGATCAGTGCAGCTCTGGCCATTGCAGCCAACTGGGGACTGAACCAGAGGATGGAAGACCTCTCTCTCTCTCTCTGCCTCTCCTCTCTCTGTGTGACTCTGCCTTTCAAATAAATAAATAAATCTTAAAAAAAAAAAAAAGTTGACTCCCATTTTTGGACACAAGGGGCAGAGACACACAGTATGGCCAGGCTGCTCCCTGAGCCCACCGGCCCACGACCCGGCCAACGCCCAGCACGGCCCAGAACGCCTCGTCCCATCAGCTGTAGAGCAGGACGCTGGCTGGCGCCTGCCCCCCAGCCAGGTGTCTGTTTTCATCATTTCTGTGTCTGGTCTCGGGCAGGGGCCCAAATTCATGTTCTTGGGTGTGGATCTCACACTGCCCGGGGCGTCTGTCCAGCTGTCTTCCTAGCGCCTCTGCAAAGCCACGCGTTGGGGGTCCTGTTCTAGGTGCTCGTGCTGATGCTGCCAGCACCCTGCTGGGGTTACGGCAGCTCTGGGGTGAGCTTTGCGGTCTCCTCGCGAAGACGTCACAGTGATTCTGCCTCCCCTGCATCTCCTCACACTGAATGTCAGGAACAGCTTGTCAATCAGCCGAACTGTCCCGCCTCACAGGATTCACCAATGCGTTAAGATTTGGTTTCTCCATCGGTGGCACCTGATGCTTCTGATGAGTTAAGGAGACAGCGCAGCTGGCTAGCCAGGGGCACACCGGTGTCTCTGGGGGAGGGGAGATCTCTAAAACGGGACTGAACTAGCTTAGGGGGAGAGGGCCCGCACCCTCCGCTCCCCAGCCGCAGGCTAACTGGCAACCAGCAAGTGCAGATAGGAGGGGGGGGAAGGAGCCCGGGAGGCTCACAAAGCATCGCTAGGCTGGAAGAGGCAGCACTTTGAAGAAAACCGTCCAAAGCTAAAATGGGCCAAAACCTAGCGCAGGGTTGGCTGCAGGTAACAGGAGTTAATTCGCAAAAAGCATACTTCACCTGCGCAGTGGATGCAGTTGAATTCGTCACCCGAAGGGCTGAGGAACTGACACTTGTGTGTCTGAGGGAACGGAACGGACCCTGCAAACGCACCTGCCAGGTTGGCCGCCGCCGCGGCAATATTTAAAATGTCTGCTTCGGCCGCGGAACAAATCCTTTCTAGGCCCGCAGCGCCCCTCGCCACCACTAGATGGCGACATCGTCACAGCAAAGGGCCCTGCGGGGCCCGGCAGATCTGGAAGAGGGTTTTCTCCCAGGATTTCCCACCTTTCCTGAACCTTGAGGTCCTCGAACAAAGGGCACACCCTGAACAAACCTTTTAGGACAGAGCCTGGGGACTGGCTGGGCCAGGATCAGGACCCCCGGTGGCGACCCCGCCGTCACCCTGTCCCAGCAGAGGAACCCGGTGCCCAGCACCCCACTTCAAGGCACTCACTGCCTGGTCTGCTCCCGGTTGGAGTAAGTGACGTTCACCACGGCCGTCTCGCTCTCGGTGTTCACTGGGAGAGAAAAGGGGCCAGGGTTAACAGGGCGACACCCACCCGCTCCCCCACGAACCCTCCAGCCTGGTCTTCCTATGTTCTGAGGTCGAGAAGGCATCTAGCAGACTGGGGAGGAGTTTATGAGACTGGAGCGGAAAGGCCAAACAAGCATACAAACAAACCAAGCATTTAGCCCCGTGGTTAGCGCACCCAGCTCACACTTCAAAATGCCTGGGCCAGCTCTCTGCTGTGGCCAGGGAGTGCAGTGGAGGATGGCCCAAGTGCTTGGGCCCTGCACGCCGGCCGCAGCGGCCACTGGAGGGTGAACCAACGGCAAAGGAAGACCTTTCTCTCTGTCTCTCTCTCTCACTGTCCACTCTGCCTGTCAAAAATTAAAAAAAATAAATAAATAATAAAAAAATTGAACAAAATGCCTGGGCTGAATTCCTCACTCCTGACTCTAACTTCCTGGGAGGCAGCAGTGAGGGTCAAATGGCGCTCCCACCACCTACATGGGAGACTCGGATCGCGATCCTGCCCCGGCTTGGGCCCTAGCCAGGGGGCTGGTGTAGGCGTCTGGGTAGTAAACCAGCAGATGCGAGCTCTCTCCTCTCTTGCTCAGCCTCACATAGACATTTTTTCTTTCCCCTTGAAAGCCCCTTCACCAGAGCCGCTGGGAAGCCCAAAGTAACCTCCCTGACCGTCCCCACCCAGCCCACAGAGTGTGTAACCAGGAGTGCAGCTGCTACGTCAGTGAACACCTGCCCCACACGGGCACCCCACCTAGGAAACAGACGTACCCTTGGAAAGTTAAACTAGTTAAAAATCAACACACTGGGTGAGACGAGCAGTTTGCAGAAGCAAACACCCAGGATACGGCTCAGAGAACACCCCGCTGCACGCGAGGGCTGTGCATCGTGCAGGAACCCAGCAGCCGCAGCGTGCTGGGGTGCTGCGCCCCGGTGGCCCGGTTCCACACGAGTGGCGGCGGCATGGAAGGGGCAAAGCATCGACCTGCATCTTCTGCAGGTGAATATTCCCAACAGCGCACCTGGCCGCAGCGTTCGGACTCCAGCCAGCAGTCCCATCAGGATCCTCAGCGCTGTTGGTTTTCACCGGATCCCCCACATACCAGGGTATTTCAAAGCATCCACAGCAAAAACCGAAAGATCACTTCAGGGGCTGAGCTTCTGGCACACAGTTAAGATGCTGCTTAGGGGGCCGGCGCTGTGGCATAGCAGCTGAAGCCACCGCCTGCAGTGCCGGCATCCCATATGGGCATTGGTTTGGGACCTGGCTGCCCCACTTCCCATCCAGCTCTCTGCTATGGCCTAGGAAAGCAGTGGAAGATGGCCCAGGTCCTTGGGTCCTTGCACCTGCATAGGAGACCTGGAGGAGGCTCCTGGCTCCTGGCTTTGGATCAGCACAGCTCCAGCCATTGTGACCAACTGGGGAGTGAACCAGCAGATGGAACAACTCCCCCCTCGCCTCTCCTTTCTCTGTGCAACTCTGACTTTCAAATAGATAGATAAATCTAAAAAAAAAAAAAAAAAAAAAAAAATGCTACCTGAGACATGCACGTTGCAAACTGGAATACCCAGCGTTCGAATCCCAACTCCACGTCCAACTCCAGCCTCCTATTAAAGGGCACCCTGGACGGCAGCAGGTGACACAAGCACCTAGACCCTCACCACTAGCCTGGGAAACCCACACTGAGTCCCAGGTCCCTGGCTCCAGCCTGGCCAAGCCCAGCTGCTGCAGGCCATGTGAGATCTCTCTCCCTCTCTGTCACTTTGCCTTTCAAATAAATAAAATAAACAGAATTTCAAGTAACTCAGCCACATAGTTCTCATTTCAGCAAGCTTTATCCTGTCTTACACAGCAGTGTCTTGTGAAGCTGGGCGCCCTGCTCCAAGCCCCTGGCGATCCCCCTGCTCAGCTCAGCCACCTCCAGGGCAAAGGCTCCCCCCCAGGAGTAACCTGCCAAGGCCTGGGGTGCAGAGTGCCACCCCCAGGAGAGGCGGAGACAGAAAGCACCATAAGTAAGCAAATCCTCTCCGAGACCACAAAGTGCTCGGTGCTACGGAGAGGTGGGCACCTGGATCGAGAGGGCGAGGCAGAGCAGGGCAGACAGAATGACCTCCCACGCAAGGGGACAGTGGCACAGCCTTGAGGACCTTCCCTGTTCTACTGTCCCACAAAACCCAGCCCCTCCCTACTCTCCTCTGCAGGCGGCAGGCACCCCCATCGCACTGCTCCCTGGCTAAGCTCCTGTGCACGGCTCCTGCCCCCTGGCCACAGCGCGATCACACTATTTGTCCCGGAGTAACTCATTAATCCGCACTGTGAGTCCCGGGCACTGGGCTGCAGTGGGTTCGGCTGTGTCTGGCAAACACAAGACACCTGCTTCGCAGACCCCCCCCACTCCTGTGGGCAGGCGAAGACTCGATCATTCACAGTCGCTCGTCACGTGCACCCCACGAAGAGCTGAGCTGGGCATTTCAATCCTGGGCCAAGCGATTACCCACTTATTGCTTTGAAGATCTTCAAATCTAAACTATCTTGCCTAAAGACCACCTTACAGTGAGCCAAACCACTCCCTATTTTATTTAGACTCTCTGTTTCTGAAAAGAACTCGTAATCCTAATAACAGAGAAAACTCAGGAATCCTAGCAAACTTTTTAGAACGTTAAATTTCCTTATTATTTTTCCTTTTGAGAACCCACTCTTTTTAAAGAAGAAATCTTTAGATAAATCTTTAGATTTCGACTGCCAGTCAGACTACATCTTCTGCATTTTCATTAATTGACCAAAGACCTATGGAGCTGCCAACCAGAGTTTTAAAAAAAAAAGGAGCCTGTGGACAATCCGCCCCTAAAACAAGAAACACGGGGGCTTTGAGGGTCAGAGGGTGGCCCGCTTGGGTGGAACACACAATTTCCATTCTTACACTGTGCCTGGGACCCTGGACTGTTTCCACCTCGGTCGGCTGAGAGCCTGGGCACCACCCCAGCACAGGAAATGCCTGGCTCCAGGGAGAGCCCGAGGGGTGGAATGGGGGTCCCTGCGTCACTGCTTCCCACTCTGCATCACTCCAGCTGCTTGTCCGTCTGTCTGTCTTCCCTAGGGACCCCAGGGCGATCTGGAGCTGATCACTGGAAGTGAAGTCCAGATCCCCCAAGCCCCACCCACGCCCACCCATGCCCACCCAGCGAGGCCCGGCGCCCGCTCTCACCTTGCTCGCAGTTCTCTACGGTGCCATACTGAGCCAGCAGGCTGTCCAGCACCTGCGGGGTGGAGAAGACAGGGACTGAGCGCCCAGAACCCTCGCCAGGCGGCCACCCAGCAGCCCACACACACCCAAAGCACTCAGGCAGTCGCAGAGCGGTAAGAACTGGGCATCGCCTGTCCGTCTGCCCTTCCCAGGTGCTAGGGCTGCTGTCCACACCGGCCAGGGGCCAGCGGGCCTGCAGCTGTGCCTGCGGGGCCTCCTGGAAGCACACCTGGTAGTGTGCACAGAAGCACCCTCTCGCCTCCCTGGCGATGCACACCGAAGGGAGACCAGAAAGAGCGCCAGTGAGGGAGGAGACACCCCCCAACCAAGCCTGGCCCAGGGGACACGTGCCAGCCTGGCCCCCCAAAGTAACTCAGGTCTCCACTACCTCCCCGGCCCCACCCCCACCACTGAGTGCTTCCCCAGGACACTCACTTCCCATCGGAGCTGGGGTGGAATATTCCGGATTTGGATCTTCCGACTCCTGAAATTAAAGAGGGAACAGAGTTAGATCTGGCGGGGTAGCGCCCTACGTTGCCCTGTCCCAGTTCTCGGCTCCCTTTGCTGGAGAAAAGCTCAGCACTGAGGAATGATGACCTTTAGGAAAGGAGACCGGGGCATCTTGCTGGAAAAGACCAAAATCAACGTCACAGCCACGGAGACAAACACGGATGTGTTGTGGAGTAGCAGCCACCCAATTTGAGCGCCGGTTCAAGCCCGACTGTTCCACTTCTGATCCAGCTCCCTGCTAATACACCTGGGAAGGCACCAGAAGATGGCCCCAGTGCCTAGGCCCCTGCCATACACAGGGGAGACCTAGGCGGAGTTCCAGCCTCCTGGATTTGCCCTGACCCAGCCCTGGCTGTTGTGGCCATTTGGGGAGTGAGCCAGCCAATGGAAGATCACGCTCTCGCTCTCTCCCTCTCCCTCACCCCCCAGTGTGTGTACCTCTGCCTGTCAAATAAAATAATCTTAAAAAAAAAAAACAAAAAAACAACCACACACACAATGGCTTGTTTCCCTCACGATTTAGCTTGTCTCACTTCTTCATTCAGTAGGCACCTGTCACCACAACCCTGGGCTAGGCGCTAGCATCGCACACTGAGTAAGGCATTATTAATTAATCTGACAACTATTTAAGTGGCACCTACTTCCTGCCCAACCTTGTTGCACATACTAGGGACACACGACAAACAAAAAAGTGCCTGGCCCGGGGCACTCACAACCAACCCTGGGAGATGACCACATGCACACACTAGAGGGGTGCGAGGGCAGAGGTCAGGCCCTGGGCACAGGGACGGATTCAAACCACAGCCTAGCACTGATCTTAAAAGATGACTCCCTTTTTTCCCTCTGGTAGCCATGGCCGGAGTGGCAGTGGCCAAAATGAAGTTCAAGCCCTCTGACTTCTCATGGGAGCAAGAACTGAAAAAGGCATTTCCATGCCCTTTCCCACGTGGGCCTGAAGGCTCTGTCATCCCCTCTTTCCAAGGGTCGAGGCAGAAGTGCAGCACGCCATCCGTGCCCATCGGATGGACGATGGAACGTGCTCCAGGCGCACAGGAAGAAACAGTTCGTCTTTGTTCAACGGGTGTGGCGGGGAAAGGCCAGTGGCACAGCTGTCCACGTGGGCATCCACCCCAGCAAGGCGGTGACCACTAGGGCTAAAGCCGGACAAAAACTAAACAGACCCTCAGACAGAAAGCCAAGTCTCACCAAGTAGGAAAGGAGAAGGGGGGCCGGCGCCGTGGCTCAATAGGCTAATCCTCCAGCTAGCTGCGCCGGCACACCGGGTTCTAGTCCCGGTCGGGGTGCCGGATTCTGTCCCGGTTGCCCCTCTTCCAGGCCAGCTCTCTGCTATGGCCCAGGAGTGCAGTGGAGTATGGCCCAAGTGCTTGGGCCCTGCACCCCATGGGAGACCAGGAGAAGCACCTGGCGGCGGCGGCCATTGGAGGGTGAACCAACGGCAAAAGGAAGACCTTTCTCTCTGTCTCTCTCTCTCACTGTTCACGCTGCCTGTCAAAAAAAAAAAAAAAAAAAGGAAAGGAAAGGAGAAGGGCACATATAAGGAAGAAACCACTGAGGAGATGCAAGAATAAATAATCTTATATACGAACGTTCACTAGAAACTGCTGAAATAAAAAAAAAAATTTTCAGCTTCTCTGAGGCATTTGAAAGACAGGGATCACGCCTACCCCGGGCAGCAGGTGGTGGTAGACAGTATTTATAAGGAGCTTAGGGGTGAGAACAGAAGCTCAGCCTAACTGTAGCTGCATTTGTGGATAACCGCCGTGGGACAGTCCATGGTGACCACACCTCTGCCCCTCCTGCCACTGAACCGGCGGCTTCTTCTCATCTTCCAGAGGCTTCTACCAACGTGGCCGTCCCTGAAGGCTCTCAGCTTCACTGCTGACCCCCGGCACCGCCTCACCACTCCAATCAATGCCCTCATCCCCGGGTTGAAGACAGTAGATTGACTCGATGTGCAGGTCAATGGTGTTTAAGTGTTTGTGTTTCTGGGATCATGAACTTCACACAGGGACAAGGTCCAAGAGAATTCTAGCAGCCTGAAGGAACGCTGAGAGAAAGTCTGGCTCCAACCCTTCACCTGTCCAGGGCAGGAGTCCCTACCAGAGGCTCAACACGGACGTGTCAGCTCTCGCTCACTCCGGGCCAGGAGTGGGTGGGTGCTGGGTCCACTGCTCACGGGCTGACCTTGGCTGTCCTGAGCCGGTTCACCCACATCACCCCTACGAGCTGTAAAATGTAGACCGGAGGTCCCTGAGAGCCTTCTCGCTCTGCAGTTAGTACTGAGTGTGCACAGTCTTATCCGTGAAGCTCATTTTGGAAAAATCTCTTCCCCGGAATGAAAGAACTTGGGGAATGGAGGGGAAAAGCAGTAACGTGGAGAAGAAAGCGCCAAAGTGGGTCTTTGCAGCTCTCTCGTTCAGGTGGGTCATGAACTTGACCTGCACTAAATAGTAAGGATGAGAAACCAAGGCGGTTCCAGGCTCTCAGCCCCACCAGGCAACCTGGTGATTCAGGCTCACTTCGCCAAATCAAGGTTGAAAATGCAGGAATCCTCCCGTGAAAGTCGAAGGGGTGGAGGACTGGGGAAAAGGAAGTGATTATTCACCATTGGAGGACTGAGCACAGGGGTAGCTCAGGCCCCAGCCACTGCCCTCCAGGAAACTGTCCTCAATCAAGGGCAGCCTAGGGACTAAGGGGCTAAAGCAACCCCAATGCTGGAGCCCAGTCTGAAGTTCGCTCTTCCAAGCTGGTCCCTTAGCACCATCAAGATCGAAGCTCCCCTCTCTCCCTTCAAACGGTTTTAGGGGCCTTTTCTTCAGGGAGGGGATTGGGGGAGAAGGGGGTGGTGGTGAAATCAAATCTCTGCTGGGATGTTAATCCATATCCTGAAAGCAATGGCAGTCAGATCGTCTGGAATGTCTGGAATGTTCCAGGAGAGGGAGGGGGAGGAGGGCAGGGCCCCTCAACCAATGAAAGCAGAGACCTCCTGGCAGCCCTCCCCCACCCCTTTAGGGCACACACCCCACCCTGGGAACGCACTCCAGGCCCCTCCCAGGCCTCCTTTCGGCAGAGCCCCCAGCCCAGATTAAAACGCCACCGGGAGGGCCTGGGAGAAGGGCGGCCGCGGGGACCCTCTGTGTGTTAAGCCCTTGGCCTGGTTTCTATTAAGAGTGATGCTACCTAATGTCTTTCAGCCCGCAGCACAGGGCAGTGCTGAGAACTGCAACCCGGGCTCTCCTCCTGGGGACCCCCTGGGAAACTCACTCACTCCACAAACATTTATACAAGGTCTCCTGTGGGCTGGGCTAGGGGAATCCAGGCGGAAGCTAGGAGCACCCTAACTGGGCACCTCTTCCCTCTGTCTGCGCCGTGGGGCGGCAATGCTGATAACTCCTGCACCCCCGTTACCTACCCTCCCAGGGTGCCTGGTTTGAGCGTCCCTGCTGGACACCCTCACCCGCCCGCTCGCCCGCTCCCCTGGGATTCCAGCTTCCTGCTAATGTGCACCCTGGGAGGCAGCAGGTGCCACCTCTAGTAGTTGGTTGCTGCCACCCACGTGGGAGACCCAGACTGAGTTCCAGGTTCCCGGCTTGAACTTGGCCCAGCCTTAGCTTTCTGCAGGTATTGGGGAATCAGAGATGAAAGCTCTCTCTCTCTCTCCCCTCCACCCCAGTGTGTAATGAATTTTTAAAAAAAAATTTTAAATACATAAAGTATGTGAAGGGGCCAGCGTTGAGGCAAAGCAGGTAAAGCTGTTGCCTGCAGTGCAGGCATCCCATATGGCTGCCAGTTCTAGTCCCAGCTGCTCCACTTCCGATCCAGCTCTCTGCTATGGCCTGGGAGAGCAGTAGAAGATGGCCCAGGTCCTTGGGCTCCTGCACCCGCGTGGGAGACCCGGAAGAAGCTCCTGGCTCCTGATTGGTGCAGCTCTGGCCGTCACGGCCATTTGGCGAATGAACCAGGGGATGGAAGACCTCTCTCTGCCTCCCTATAACTCTGCCTTTCAAATAAATAAATATATAAAGGAGAGGGGAGGGGAGGGGAGGAGAGGGGGGAGGGGAGGGGGAGGGGAGGGGAGGGGAGGAGAAGAGAGCAGAGGAGAGGAGAGCAGAGGAGAGGAGAGGAGAGGAGAGGAAGTATGTTAGCCTTGGAGCCTGACCTGGAGTGAGTGCTCAGTCCATGACTGTCAGAGGTGCTCAGTGGGATAAAATGTTAAAATACTTCAGAAAGTGAGTGGGAATTAGAATGAAAAGATCTAAAAACTTTGGGGAGTGAACCAGCAGATGGAAGACCACTTTCTCTCTCTCTCTCTCTCTAACTCTGCCTTTCAAATAAATAAATCTTTAAAAAAAACAACTTTGGGTTGCCACTGTGGTGTAGTAGGCTAAGCCTCCTTTGCTGGCATCGCCCATATGCTGGTTGATGTTCCCGCTGCTTCTGTTCTGATCCAGCTCTCTGCTATGGTCTGGGAAGGCAGTGGAGGAGAATGGCCCAAGTGCTTGAGCCCCTGCATCCATGTGGGAGACCCCAAAGAAGCTCTGGGTTTCTGGTTTCAGCTCAGCTCAGCTCCAGCCGTTGCTGCCATTTGGGTAATGAACCGGCAGATGGAAGACCTCTCTCCTCTCTGTCTCTTCCTCTGTCTGTAACTCTACTGCTCAAATAAATAAATAAAATATTTTTTTAAAAAAAGGTTTAAAAAGTTTAAAAACTTTGAAATCCATGCATAGGGGTTAGAAAAAAAAAAAAAAAAGTCCACTGCCTGGAGTCCCACCCTCCCGGGGACCTACCCAGCTCGGCCTCTGGGAACAGGGCACTCAGGGCGCTATCAGCAAGTTCTGTGCCCCTGCAGGGCCCGGACCAACACCCACTGTTCAAAGCAGCCAAGAGAACCCACCAAGGTTCTCAGACTACCCCCACCCGCCACTGTCTGAAGAACCTGTGGACTACAGAATG